ACCATGAAATGGAGACATTACCTTGTCTCTTGCTCTTGAACACCACAAAATGATAATATTAAACAACAACAGAAAGCATTACAAGAGCAAGAAAAATATGTAAAATAAGTCATATAACAAAAATCAGTCAAAGACTAATAAAACTAATAAAAATGGCTAAAATAAAAAATTGGCTTTTGGAAATCCATCCACTGTAGCAAAGGCACGCATCAGAGGGTTAAATAATGATTCACTATGGTAAGAACTGCCAATGGGTAGCCAAGAAAAATGGGTTAGGGGTATCAGTTAAAGCATGCATAGATTTAAATCATCAGCACCTCTGAGCTGCACATTGTCAAAGTGCTGTTTGAAATCTGTCTCGGTGTCCAATGTTTTTGCCTAGTAATGTTGTAGAATCAAAAGGAATTTGTGCAGTTTGAAAACTTCAGCTTGAATTCAAGTTCACCTTCCCCCAAGAAAGTTCTCTCAGGAAATACACCCATGCTCTTTGTCGAAAGGTCTCAGCTTTTGTTGGACAGACGGCGTAGATAATCTCCCCAAAAATACTTTTTTTTTTTTAAAGCAGTGGGTCAGCTGTCCTTTATCAAGGTTTCCGTTTAGGCCCGTAGTCTCCAGAGATGTTCCTTACCGATCAGGAAACTGTCAACTGACAGATTTAGAATTGATTGTGTGTGCTTTGCTCCTGTTCAGACTTTTCTTCTAGCCGCAAGCTATGATAATAAGTGGAGCAGCACAGACAAGCAAGTTCATTCAACACAATCTGTTGCTCTCAATCTTGCAGGTTAATGTTTGTTATTTATAAAAGCTTTTAAATAATGCAAACATAGTACAATTAAATGGTTTTTAATTATGTTTTTTTAGATGATTTAAGATCTTTGTTGTGCATTTGGTATTATTCTAAACAACTGCAGCCCAAAAATAAAGCACCATGACATTGTTCTCTCTATGCTATGATTATGCTATGATTATGATTATGATGATCTCCTTGCAATGTGGTGAAATGTCATTTTCTCTTCTTTATCCATTTCTGTTTTTCTCTCTGTCTCTCCTTGTTTCTTTAAATCGCTTTCTGAATATCTAAGTGATAGTGACATTTTAAGAGCACTTCCCATCTATTTGTGCCACAGAGTCATCCCTCCAAGTAGCAGAACATGCTCTCGTCCAAATACCTCATCGATAGACCGAACAGACAAGCACTGTAACAGCACTGACATATGAGGATTAAACCAAATATCAGCTCTGTCTCTCTAGATTAGGTAAAATGACAATCATGGCAATTTGTAATGGATACTGTGCCTTCCAGTGTCTACTTTCTGGATGTTTGTGAAAGAGTGTTTTCCAGAAATTCTGCCATTTACCATTGTGCCTAAACATTTCATGACCTGTTTAATTATTTTTTTAGGTCATTTCATTCGAATAAGATTAGACATGTGCCGGTATTCGGTAATGTGATATATCGCGATAATAAACATGCACGGTATTGTTATCGCGGGCACTTCAAAATACAGAGAATAATTATTTATTACAAATTATTCCGAATTTTGAATGCATTTTAAGAATACTTTTCCCATTAAGTTGTCACAAAGCACAACACCACTGTATGCTGCTGCAAAGACTCATGTGCACTCCGATGTAAACAAACAAGGATGAGAAGTGCATGAAGGAACACGTGAGAGACACTCTGGATGATAGCGCACATTCACTCTCAGACAGCAGATGGCGCTGAACAGCAGAAATGCAGCCATTACCCTGGAAACCCGTAAACAAAGGAGCTGTGCTGCTTTCTTTTTCTGAAATGTATTTAAATGATTTTAACAGCCATTCAGATTTGTGTATTCGCTATATGGTGTTCATCACATAAATATTTTGACTTAATAGGCTATTTATTTTCAAACTTTTTTACATTTTAATCTGGACTACAACATGCCCTAGATATTGTTTGAAAGCGTTTTGATTCTTTATTATTTACTTTACATTAGGGCTTCATTAGTTAACATTAGTTAATTCATTAGTTAATATAAACTGCCAATGAAAAATTCTTCCAAACATCCATTAATCTGAAGTAATTCCAATATTTAATAACAAGATTTTAATCCAAAATTGCAACTGTGTTATTAAATCAGCTAACATGAACTAAGAATTGTATTTTTTAACAAAGAATAATAACTTCTGTAGCAAATATTGCTATTGCTCATTGTGAATGTTAATGCATTAACTAAGGTTAACTAATGAGATCTTATTGTTAAGTGTTACCTATTGTAGCTATTGTAATTTTTTTGCACTTTAATCGGTGTCAATTTTTTTACTTTATACATTTTATGTGTATTGCGTTATTGTATTTAAATGTTCAATTATTTTTGTTATAAGAAAAAAAGTTATTAAATCTGTTGTACTGTATTATGACAACACTTTTTTGCAACTTATTTAAATATCGTGATAACACTGTATACCGTGATAAAAGCATTAGCAATTAATCTCAACATGAAAATTTGATACTGGCATATGCCTAAATAAGATATAGACTACTGTTAAAAAGTTTTGGGGCAGTAAGATTTTTTTTGTGTTTTTTTAAGGAAGCCTCTTAATATGCCCAAATAATATTGATCAAAATAAATACAGTATAATAAACATATAATATAGTGAAACATTTTTATAATTTAAAATAACTCTTTTCTATTTATATCTATATCTTAAAATGTAATTTATTCCTGTGATGGCAAAGCTGAAATTACAGCAGCCATTACTCCAATCTTCAGTGTCACATGATCCTTCAGAAATCGTAATATGAAATCTAACATGCTGATTTGGTGCTCAAGAGACACTTATTATTATTATCAATGTTGAAAACAGCTGTGCTGCTTATTATTTTTGTGGAAACCATGATACCATAGAATTTATTTAATCAGCATCTCTGCCACAAACCATGATTTCTTCAAACCTCCCAGCATGTAAAGAAAAAGCCTTGTAAATGTGAGGCACCAAAATGCATTTATGCTCACATGGCTTGCCTGCATACAGAGTGTCTGGGTGGATAGACAGGCATAGTGACTTGCTGACTCATGATTCAGTTTTGTAAGGTGTGAAATAATTGGAAACAATTTTATTCTATTGATCATATGGTAACAGGTTTATCAGTTTATTGACAAACTGATAACAGTCCTGGCAGAGAATGTCTCTTATTCAATGCAACAGAAATTAAATGTTAAAGTTTGTTTTAGAGAACTGCAACCACATGCATAATAATGTGCTGCCTATAAATACCTATAAGAGACAGAAGATCTCATGGTGAAGGAGATCAATTTAGAATAAGTTAGGATTGAACAAAAGTACATACGGGGTAATGGCAGTGGAACCAAACATCCCTTTGTGTGTGCAGGTTCTTCTCCAGCTTTACTGAAGCAAAATGATTGTTACCTTCTTTTGTTCAGGGCTTTTGTTTGGATGTATTTATCATGTAATTGAATCTTTTAGACTGAGCTGAAAAAATAACAGGCAATTTGTGCTTTTGGTTTTCATAAAGCCACAGACATCAAGGGTCAACTGAATATATTTAAAACTTAAAATTTAAATCCATTTTCTGAGACACTATTAAATTGTGTATAAGCAAGGCCTTTTGAATCAAATTTAGTCAAGTCCAACCAGCTCAAACATTCTTTTATCTGCTACTTAAAATAACATATTATAGCGCATTGGCTAAAAAGCTCAATTTCTCGGGGGCACAAGCCAATATGCTGTTCAGGGGGCCTAGAACAAGAACCATCTGATTTTTATTTTTGCTCAAAAAGATCTGCATTGTTGGCGCTGATAGCCTAGTGGGCAGTGTTGACATATAACACCATTGTGCTATATGTCAACACACATACACCGCACGTGCATATTGTGGCATCCTGAGTTCGAATCCCAGCTCGCGGACCTTTCCCACCCCCCTCTCTCTTTCTCCCCCTTAACTTCCTGTCTGCTCTACATTGTCCTATTGTAATAAGGGCAAAAAAATAGATCTGCGTTATCTTACCAAAGTTTGCACACCTACTTTTGTTTACAGCTTAATTGTATTCACAGCTGGTTGTAGGAAATACCGTGGGATTCATAGTTTTATCCCACTGAAAATCTATGATTCGAAATCCAATTTAAACATGGATAAAACTGAAAGTTTTAGGATTTTGGATTATGATCAGCACTATTTGTAGATTTAATCATATAAGTACTTTTTGTGACATTGATCACAGAAGTCTTTGTACAGATGGCCAGATGTTTTTCTGTTGAAGCATAAGATGCTTTTGGATCATTCTCAAATCATGCTGGAGAACATAATCCTCAGGTTTGATGCGTATTAATAAATAACTAAATTTATAAATGTATTATAAATGTATTAAATTAGAAGCGTATGTTTTTTAAGCATTCCTTGTCCATGTGAATGATTGCCACTCTTGATTTGCTAGTCTGTATTACTCACCCATTGTATGCTCTAACTATAAAAGCGACCTGCAGAGTGTCAATTCTACTTGTTTTGCTCTATCTGGCTTTAGCCATTCGAGTCAATAGAGTGACTCAGGGATGGATAGAAGTATAAATGGATAAATTGATGCTAAAAGTGGCAGACTAAGATGTCGACACTGGTGAATCGAACAGCAGTGTTTAATGTACTAATTGCTTCTTAAGAACTGAGTCTGACACAAGGGCAAAAACCGAAAGCTGGCCCGCTTGCCATTCTAAAAGCTTTTATGTGTTCTCTGTTCCACACACCAATGTAATCGAATGAAACAGCACAATCCACTTCAAAAACAGTAAATATGTCTGCTTAATTCCATCTCAGCTGGCCATTGAGGTATTAAACAGGCATTATAGAGAAGATTTGGTCTCTTGGAGAATTAAGATGTTTATAACTTTATAAGTAATGTGAAGCTCAAATATTCAGATTCAGTGTCCTTTGTGTAAATGTAGCACATTGTGCTCATCTGAAATTATCTCCTGGCGTTCCCTTTTTTTCTTGCTGTGCACAGGTGGCAATGGTGCAGGATGTTCGACATCCTTTCCCCACAGTGGATGTTCCAGACCATGCTCACTACACCATCGGCTCTGTCATTCTGGCAGTGGGCATCACCGGCATGGTGGGAAACTTCTTGGTCATGTATGCCTTTTGCAAGTGAGTCCAGATATATGTTGTTTGTGTGATAACCAATGCAATCCTGGTTAGATCTGCTCATCTAGAGTCATTGTTGCACTGCAAAGGCAGCACAGAAACCGCTAAGATATAGACCAGGGTTTCGCAAACTGAGGTTCAAGAACAATTACTAGAAATGGTTGAGCTCTTTTAAACAGGATGGATGTATCAAAATAAAACTTTTTTGAATTGTAGCTTTTGACGTTTCTTTTGTGTATGTTTTCAGGAGTAGGAGTCTGAGAACACCTGCCAACATGTTCATCATTAATCTAGCTGTCACTGACTTTCTGATGTGTGTCACTCAGACGCCAATCTTCTTCACCACCAGTTTGCACAAGCGATGGATCTTTGGGGAAAAAGGTAATCCAGATGTCACATAATCATGGGTGATTGATCAAACCCTGGTTCATTTCCAGGATTTCATACTTGCACAGATGCTAAGTCAACTTTACAGGGTGAGTTCATGAGACTGATTCCAGTGCAGATGAGAAGAAAGTATAACAGATAATGATAAAGGATCTCAGTTGGAGAGGGGTTATGCAGTGATGCATAACTGTACATCCTGGTGAAGGAGAAGAACCACCTTAGTGTCCACAGAGGTCAAAGCGATGTAGATATGAATCAGTGGTCAGTTAGCCTGAACATATTTCAATTACAATGCAAAGGGGCTTCTCAAAAACTGCAGGCGTATATGTAAAAAATGTGCAATTATTAAAATTAAAATTAATGGTTCATTAAGCTGATTGTTTGATGAATCAGTGCTCTGAGAAAATAATTAGGGTTCGGCTTTATCAAGCTTTTTGCAGTGTGTTATTATTGAGGGGGAAAACAGTGGTAATTATATTTTTATTATCCTAGAATATATAAAAACAAACATTTTTGTAAAAGCTTGTGAATTAAAATGAACAGTTTTATTGACACTTTTTGCACAACTAACAAGCTTAATTTTTTTTTTTTTTTTTTTAATCTGTCTCATGATTTTTTAATTGTATCATTGCGTTATATTATTACCAGACATGCAAAATCTGACGTTTTCTTTCCTAATCAGACAAAATTTGATCAGAGGAAAACTGAATGACTGTGTTTCCAACTCATGTTTACAGTAATAGTAACACATATGAATTAAAAAGTACCTTTTTCTATTTTAGTAGAAAGTTTATTTTACATTTGTTTAGTTTGTATTCCTAAAACCCAGAAGACAATTAGCATATTTGAGCCATTTTCTCTTTATGGGTTTGTACTATAACCATGTCTAGAATAACGGTGAAAGAAAGTCTAAGTCTATTTCAAGTTGGGAAGTAATCGTTTGAACTATTTGCAAATAATATTTTGAAATATGCACACATCAACTTTTATTTATCAAAACACAAAAGTGTTTCTTGTCTCATTACGTAAATGACACCATATTTTCAATTCAAAACAGCCATATTTGAGAACAAACTTGAGTAGTTTGCATCTCTGGATATACTATCGTTAGTTTAACATTTCTATCATAAAACAGTTGTCAAATATTAAATGATTCCCTACTTCCATCTTATTTGACGCCTGTGTAGAATAGCAGTTAGCGAGTAATGACTGTACAGCTCTCTACAAAGTCAATATATTAGAGATGTAATCTCTCATTCAAGCTCTCTTAAACATATTATTGGGATTATTTTGTATTAGTCCTAAAAACCTCTCCTGAAAGGACAACAATTGCATGATTACATATTCATCATGCAGTAGCATGTGTGGGATTAATGTGATGCTCTAATGTTAGGCTTTCGAATAATGCCACAGATAAAACAGAAGATGTCAGGTCATCTGAGGATCCCTTGATCACGGATGCTCTTGTTTAGATTTCAAACCTTTTAAGCACTTAAAGTGTGTTCTTTGAAGTGAAGTAGTTGCTGGATGGTTGATGAAGTGGAATGACTCAAACTCTCTTGAGGTCTCTATTCAACCTGAGGAATGTGTGAGAGATCTGCTGCGCTTCCTCTGAATGATGTTCAATAAAACACCCTCACAGTGCTGTAGAGAAGCTTTGTAAGATGGTGAAGAGAAATGTGACAGCGGCACCCACTCACTTCACCCATTCACAATCATTATACGAGTTTATGTTGTCTCGAATCATAGTTGATCAGAATTTAACAAGCTTTCTCTGCCTGGAATCATCTTGTAGACATCACCTTGTTAACAATAACTGAGAATCTTACAACCCCCAGCAGCAATACATTGTTTGTATTGTTTCGTTGTCAATATTTTATCCACGGTGTTATTGTACTTTGCTTATCAATAAATACATAAAACATATATTATATAATTTATAATTGTAATTATAATTTATATATAACTATAAATTACTCACATATACATGTATACTATTGGATGTTCAAAATATATATATATATGAAATACACTTGCACACTAATATGAAATCCATACCAATACATCTTATGTTAGTAATGAATGCATATACTCTTGTGAATAACTTCGTATACATATAAACTTGATGCATGCATACACCTATAGACACCCGCTTATACGTATAAACTCGATCAATGCATATACACCTACAACAACACGCGCACATACATATAAACTCGCTGCATGCAGACACACCTATACATACTCGCATATACATATTAACTTGATCCATGCATATTCACCTATAAACACTCGCACATACATATAAATCCGATGCGTGCATACGCACCCATAAAGCACTCGCGCAAACATACAAAATAAAATTCACAAACGTATACCATTCTGATAAGAAAGACGCATGCTTTAGTTGTGGATATACATACAGTATGTGTAAGTGATTTCATATGTGGGTGTGTGTGAACTTTTCAGTGCAAACTGAAGGCATTTCAGTGTAAAAGGAAGCAGCGGCACTTCCGGCTGCATCTCCAGATGCCGGGACATTTTAAAACGCTTAACGTGGCTTAATGCATTAAAACAGTGTTAAAACCAAACTCAATAAACACATTATTAATAAAGCATACGATGTACAGACAAGCAGATGAGACCAGAATAAGAACGCAATGCGTTTAATTACACGTAAAGTGTTTTCCTCCCATAAGGAATATGCCTAACGTGGCTTAATGCATTAAGACAGTGTTTTTAAAATGCCAAACTCAGTAAACACATTATTAATAAATCAAACTATGTACAGTATAGCATGATTTATGAATAATGTGTTTATTGAGTTTGGTCTTTTAAAAACACTGTTTCAATGCATAAAGCCACATTAAGCTTTTTAAAACATCCCAGCATCTCTTAAAAATAAGGTATTTCTCAGGCAGTAAATGTGGAACCTTTAGATGAATTTGAGCAATGCTGGTCTGGTTTTGGTCTTGGCTCGGTCTCGACCCCTCAAAGTCTTGGTCTTGTCTTTTCTATACAATTAAAGTGAAATAACTGAACATAAATATAGGAGAGTGATTAAAAATGCTAATTTTATAAGAACATTTCCGTGTGTGTCATATCAGCCATTGGTTGAAGCTATCCATCAACTTGACTATCATTGTAAGTTAATTACCTTAGTGTTTGGAAGTTTAGGTCATGTGCACAAGAATGTGATTAAAGGACTGCACACTGCAGTTGGGTGGATTGCAAAAAAAGAAAGCAAAAAGACTCGCAAAATTCTGCATGCAAATATGGGAGCATGCAAATATGGAAATGAAGATGTTTTGTCTATCCTTGAGTGTAAAATGTTAGCAATATAAGGACTTGTGAATGTATGTTAGCCATGTGTACCTGTCATTTTGCAAACTAACCTCCCAAGGTATTTGGATTGCGTTTTTGTTGCTTGTCTCATTGATCCAAATAACAGAAGAAATGTGTACTGTATATATAATATTAATCCAATATGTATTAATTACATTAATTTAGGCATTTGCTAGGTTGCTAAGCAGGTTGTACCAAGCAGTATAATGTACAGTGAGCCAGTGATTATTGCAAAGATAAAACCCTTTAGAATGGTGCAAGATCATCTGATAATCTGAACATAATACATAATATTCAAACAGTGGGAAAGAGTTTGTTGATATTCTTGTTCTCTCTGGTCTTCTCATTGCCAGGGCTATAATCAAGCAAAGGTTTCCAGCAAATTAGTGGTCAATCAACATGGGTTTTTCAGTGACAGGTTTTAAAACTTATACCTTTTTCCAGTCTGTAAAATGAAAAACCTGTTCACATTAGTGACATTTCCAAAGCAATTATAGATATATATTTTAGAATATATAGAAATATATTATGTACAGGGTTACAGGGTTTCCCATTATTATTGTAATTATACATCCACTGCCCGCATGTGTAGCTTGTATAAATTATGTTGATAAGGAAAACATTTTCTTTTTCATCTAAAGCCATTTTTCAGTCTTATTATTTTCATACAGAAGCTTGACTGAGGTGGTTGATTTATTAGGACTGTGTAGTATGATTTAAAAGTGAAAGTGAAGTGACGGTGACCCATCCCCAGAATTTGTGCTCTGCATTTAACCCATTCAAGTGCACACACACAGTAGTGAACACACACACACCAGTGGGTAGCCATATTGGACAAGAGCACTGGTTATTCACTCCCCCCACCGACAGTCCCTGCCAGACCTGAGATTGGAACCTACAACCTTCGGGTTACAAGTCCAGCTCTCTAACCATTATGCCACAACTGCCCCCTTTACGACTACATTACATTTAATGTAGTAGTATTTATTCAGTGCATTATGAAATGCATAAAAGGATTAGTTCTCTTAAAAATCAAAATGTGCTGAAAAAGTGCACACCCTTAGGCCATCTAAGATGTAGTTGCGTTTGTTTCTTCATCATAACAGATTTTAAGAAATTTAACATTACATCGCTTGTTCACCAGTGGGTCCAATGCAGTGAATGGGTGCCGTCACAATGAGAGTCCAAATAGTTGATATGAACATCACAATAATCCACACCACTAGTCCACTGGTCCTCTAGTCCCTCAATTAACATCTTGTGAAGTGAAAAGCCTCATGTTTGTAATGAATTTGAAATGTCATTATGAAGTTTTCAACTTCAAACCGTTGCTTTCAGTGCCTTCAGTGAAAAGGTTGTCTAGTTTAAAGGGGTCATATGATGCGATTTCAAGTTTTCCTTTCTCTTTGGAGTGTTACAAGCTGTTCATGAATAGATAAGATCCCTAAAGTTGCAAAGACTAAAGTCTCAAACCCAAAGAGATATTCTTTATAAAAGTTAAGACTGGTCCACGCCCTCCTAAAACGCCTCGTTTAAACACGCCCCCACATGTCTACGTCACTGTGTGGGAAGATTTGCATAACACCGCCCAAATGTTCACGCAAAGAAAGAAGGCGTAACTTTATTGTTGCTGCCACCGCCGCTGCCATGTTGTGAAGATGCTGTGTTTCATTGCGAAAGCGAAAATACTTTCAAAAAAGGACACGACTAGAAATCAGTGGTTAAATTGTATTTACAACACTGTTCCAGAACAGTTCAACCCAAATATTCAGATGTGTGCAGCGCATTTTATGGAGGACTGTTTCCTGATCCTGGTAGAGTAGACTACAATGCCGGCTGTTCTGACTCTCAGACTGTAAGTACGTTTTCATTTTTAAAGAATTTGCCACTGATGATTCAAACGCGAGTTTTGAGCACTGTAGAGTAGCGCTTGTTGTTTGTCGTTTCTCCGATCACAAATGCAGACATGGTTTTATGTTTACACGGCGCGATGCAACGCAACGAGTAAAAACACAGTATAAGTCATTATAAACTGGATGCAACAAATGCCTAGTTTATAATGGGTTTTAATGTTTTTGAATCGTGGTTCCGGCCAGACAGGGCATCACAGTATGGCAAGGGGCGTAACATTTCTGTCACACGCTTGAGGTATTCGGCCAATCACAACGCACGGGATAGCTGGCCAATCAGAGCACACCTCGCTTTTCAGACCGATGAGCTTTGTAAAAATTTTACATGTTTCGACGAGGCGGGGCATAAAGGAGAAACAATAATGTACAGTATGTGGAAAACAATATGTTTTTTGAACCTTAAACCACATAAACACATTTCATTACACCAAATACACAAAATAATGTTCCTTTTAGCAACATCATATGACCCCTTTAAATCAGGAGCGAAATATGCTCAAATCAAGCACCATTTACAAGCAAAGTTAAACAGTCCAAAAGAATTGTAAAACAAATATGTTAGTGGATTTTAATGTGAAAGGAAAATGGGATGGACTTTTTTTTTAATCTGAGGAAATGTTATTATGGAGTTTGCACAGGTATTTTGGTCAGAAGCAACAGTTTAAAGTTAAATGCCTTGATGGATTTGTTTCTTACAAACATGCAGTTTTTCAATTCCCAAGACATTAATTAATGGACTGGAGTCGTGTGGATAACTTTAATGTTATATGGGTGACGGCACCCATTCACTGCAGAGGATCCATTGGTAAACAAGTGATGTAATGCTACATTTCTCCAAATTTGTACCAAATCAAAAAAAAAAATAAAAATGAGGGTGAGTAAATTTTCATTTTTGGGTGAACTATTCCTTAAACATATTTCTTTTTACAGTATTTCTCTCTCTCCACAGGTTGTGAATTATATGCATTCTGCGGTGCTCTGTTTGGTATCTGCTCAATGATCACACTCATGATTATTGCAGTAGATCGATACATTGTGATCACTCGTCCTTTGGCCTCTATTGGCGTTATGTCACGCAAACGAGCCCTGTTGATACTCTCTGCTGCTTGGGTGTACTCTATGGGTTGGAGCCTGCCTCCGTTCTTTGGATGGAGTAAGTGCTTACAATCACTCACTTAAAGAGAGGCATTTAATTGTGAAATTCAAGATTGAATAATGTATATATCCTACATTTGTTAGAAAGAAAATTGAACCTCCTCATTTTAGAAGCAGAAGCATGTAATTGTATTTTATATTCTCAGGTGCGTATGTCCCTGAAGGTCTGCTGACATCCTGTTCGTGGGATTACATGACTTTCAGTCCTTCTGTACGAGCCTACACAATGCTGCTCTTTACTTTTGTTTTCTTCATCCCCCTTTTTGTCATCATGTATTGCTACTTCTTCATCTTCAGGGCCATCAGAGATACCAACAGGTACATGCTTTTACCATGTTTATAAGCGTATTTGACCATGTTTCTTGGCCAGAAAGAGGAAAAATACTGTTTTTCTGTTAAAAAGAGGAATGTTATTTATCAATAAGAGATCAATTTTAGATTAGCGCTATGTTGCAGTGATACAAATACCTCGGCTTTGTAAACTGATGTATATGCTGTCTCTTCTTGAGTGTACTGTATCTATCTGTTTGTTTACACATCTGTACGATGGGAATAACAGAGCTGTGGGAAAAATCAATGGAGAAGGAGGACCCAGAGACTCTATCAAGAAGATGCATCGAATGAAGAATGAATGGAAGATGGCAAAGATAGCACTCATAGTGATCCTTTTGTATGTCATCTCCTGGTCTCCGTATTCCTGTGTGGCTCTTACTGCTTTTGCTGGGTGAGAATCTGTATGTCTTGCACCCACAATCCAGTGCTTTTATTACATCCTTCTTGATGATGATAGCTAATTAGTGTTGACTTTAGCTTATTTTTTGGTTTGTTTTATTTATTGCTTTTTTATTATTTATAGTTACCTGTGGCCAGTGTTGGGGAAAGTTATCTCAAGATGGGCTTGTCCAATGAGGAAGTCCGGAATCTCAAGTGGGAGTTCTGAGATACTGGGGCGTTTTTATGGCCCCAGTATCTCTGGCGTAGTATTCTCAGTATTCTCTGGCGGAAATGAATAAGCCTCAGGCTGAAGGGAAAGTACATGTAAGTCCGTACAGTAGAATGCAGAAGAAATTGCAACACACTTCAGCAATAAAAAAAGACACAAAGTAATTTGTGCTTATTATTATGGTTGAACTGGATCATGTAAGGTCAGAAGCAAAGACATTGGTTAATAGAATGGGATTAAATACATAAAGGATATTTGTGTTGTTTAACATTTAGTTATTGCAGGTTTGTGTCATATTCTGAGTTGCATTATTTTTATTCATTTTGAGGAATACTGAATCTGTGTTTTTTTTGTTAGTGAGATGAATTAATGCATATTCATATTTATTTTAGAACTACAGTGACATCTTCTGATTACTCTCAACATGGGGACAGGAGAGCTGTCAATCAATAAATTGAAAAAAAAAGTAACTTGCGTTACTTGTTTGAAAAAGTAACTCAGATATTCTCTTGTAAATTAAAAAGTAATGCGTTACTTTACTAGTTACATGAAAAAAGTAATCTGATTACGTAACTCGCGTTACTTGTAATGAGTTACCCCCAACACTGCCTGTGGCAACTAAAAGAGCTAAATATTTGATGGATAAAGTCATACTTCACTTCTCACTGTAACTATGCTTACACACACTATTCACTGCTAGTGCAAGAATAAAAAAGCTCTAGTTATTTGTTCAGACAGTACAAAGACTGTCTAGACACTCAAATTGGAAATATGTCAAATTAAAAAGAGCAGAGATAGCTTTAAATTAAAGATGATAAAAATTATCCATTCATCTCAATCATCATGAGGTACAGTGTGTTCCGTGTGAGAAGAAGATATTTTTCAAGGCAGATAAAAGTAGATATGGAAAAGTTTTTGATAACTGTGGCACTAAATTAATATAATATAATATAATATAATATAATATAAACCAACTTCAGAGAACGTGAAAATGTATTGTTCATTTATTCAAATATTACTTTAAAATTTCAAGGGATACTTCAAATAAATATTTTAGATCACTGACAAGAACGTTTCTTAGAATTTAATATGTAATATATATGTAAATACATGATTTCTAACATCACTGTTTTCTTCCATCCACCCTCACAGAGAAAATGTGTCACAGACTGTGAATGAAATTCTCTGAGTTGTTTTCATCAGACTCCCTTTGACAGGTTAATGATCACATACGTACCTGCTGCTTCATTTCCAAAGGACTCAATGGTTTTACTCATTTACCGCCTCTTTGTAATCTAATATGTCTGTGTGGAGCTGCAAGGCGATGTCATGCTGGTTAGATGAAAGTAAAGCATTATAATGAAGTGTATTGTTATGTCCTCTCACTCTTTCCACAGCTACGCTGACATGCTCACACCCTACATGAACTCTGTGCCTGCTGTGATTGCCAAAGCATCCGCCATCCACAACCCAATCATCTATGCCATCACTCACCCCAAATACAGGTGTGACGATGCTCAGCATAAACCTTTCTACCAACAGTTGTCTATTCTGTTGTGTTTAAAGAGAATGATGAATATTCATGGCTATCAGTTGATGTACATTCGCAGTCATTTTGACAAATTATTACAATTATATGAATTATACTGTGACCTCATAGTGAACAAGAGCAAGATATAACTGCTATTGTAATTTAATTTTCACACTAGTTTTTACAAGTTTAAGATTGAATTTAGAATTGTTTTTGAAAGACATCTCATGCTCAACAAAGCCATTTTTTTTCTAAAATACCGTAAAAATAATAATATTGTGAAATATTATTGCAATTTAAAATAACTGTTTTCTATTTTTTTTTTTTAAATCTAACTCATTCCTTCGATGACAAAGTTGACTTTTTAACCCTCCCGTCTTTAGTGCCACATGATCCTTCAGAAATCATTTTAATATGCTGATTTGGTGCTCATTTCTTATTAATAATGTTGAAAAGAGTGCTGCATTTTTTTTAATTAATAGAACATTAATGAAGAGAGCATTAATGTGAAATAAAAATCTTTTGTAACATTAAATATATTTCTTGACACTTTTGATCAATTTAATACATCCTTGCTGGATAAAAGTATTAATTTCTTTTTTTAAACAATCTTACAGACCCCAAACTTTTTAACAGTAGTGTATTTATTTTTATTTGTATTTTACTGTAAGAAATTTCTGTTAAAAATAAAATAAAATCCTGGCAATATTTTACATTGCTCACTAAAATATTTTACATTGCCCACCCCGGCTGCATATTGAAGCACTGAAGCACAGCCTAGTTTCCAATACCAAGAGACCTGTCCAGTGAAATGAAACATTGTTCCACAAACATGCACGCTGCGTGCTTCAAGGCCAGGCAGACCCAAATCGATCAGCGGTTTTGTGTACAGAGTGCAGGCACAAGTACCTTGAGATGACAGAGGTAGATTCTGACCTTTAAAAGTCAGATTTACTTCAGATTGATCTGCTCTGGATGCATTAGGCCATGTGCTGCTCATAACAGATCTGAAGATTAATGCCCCATGATGAAGCACCTAAATTCTTATCGCCTGGAAATAATGGCATCCTTGGGAAGGATTGATTTGAGATGTCAAGTTTGGTTTTGACATAGGGCACAATGAGTACCAAATTCCCTTGCCCCTTGAAAATATAAGGTTTTTTTTAACAAAAAAAGAGTATTAATATTTCATAGACAGTTATGGAAAGTTGATGTGAACTGCAGTTTGCAGTATCCTCTTTCAGTGTTCCTGTCCTTCTTTCACACATCACTTCTCTCTCAGGTCTGCCATTGCAAAGTATATACCATGTCTTGGAGTCCTGCTGTGTGTGCCTCATAGAGACCGGTTCAGCAGCAGTAGCTTTATGTCCACACGACGCTCCACTTTGACAAGCCAGACCTCAGAGACCAGCAGCAACCTGCACCGTGCCGGGAAGACACGCTTGTCCTCTGTGTCTGACAGCGAGTCGGTAAGAAAACACCTTGAGGCCAGAAACAAACTCTACATGTTTGTGAACTCAAATTCTGTCTGAAAAATATGCCAGAACCAGTGTCAGAAATTGTTAGGGAGTTATAATTGTCCCCCTGAAATTTATTTTTGAGGGTGTTTTTTTTTTACCTTTCTGATGGCATATTTTTGATCGTACTGTATAATAAACATCATGTGGTCCATTAATGTGAAATACTTCAACTGAATAAATTTAATAAAATGGCCAACCTGTAACTTAATAGACCAAGAACAGAATATTATGCAATATATCAAATGTTAGGTAATAGATAACTAACAGAGCAATGTAGACACAATTTTAATACCTGGGGCATTTTGGTCACTTTCTGTAGCATTTTTGTTGTTGTTGATTTCTCTCCCTGTGATTAATGATGTGATAAAAGTACTGTGCGTATTGCATTAGCTGCATGAGGACATCACCAAGAGAATTTGATTATAACAGACAATAACACTTTTGCATAGGGACCAATTCTCACTATTAGCTAGTTGGCCATTAGCATGCCTATTATTAACATATTGACTGTTTATTGGTGCTTACATATTCTGCATGACCATATTCGACATCCCTAATTCCAATACCCAATACCTAAATTTAACAATTACCTTACTAACTATTAATAAGCAGCAAATTAAGAGTTTATTGAGGCATAGTTAATGGTATGTTAATAGCAAGAATTGGACCTAAAAATAAAGTGTGACAACCTCAGTAATGCAAGTAAAGTACATTTAAAGGGATAGTTCATCCAAAAATGTAAATTCTGTCATCATTTCTGTCATCAAATGTATACAGATTTGGAACAACATAACGATGAGTAGATGATGACACAATTTACATTTTTAGGTGAAACATGGCCAAGCATTCTCGTTTGTATTTGTGTAAAGTATGTTTCTGTCCTTCCTCATCCAAAAGGTAACAGCAACCTCACAATTATTCTTTTTGGATTTCTATTTAAGCTGTTTGATCAGCATTCAGTGTGTTTTTTATGGACAGGGCTGGACGGACACAGAGGCAGATCTCTCCAGCGTGAGTTCACGCCCTGCTAGTCGTCAGGTCTCATCTGACATCCGTAAAGATTTGTCAGACTTCAAGCACACCAGCTCTCTGAGGCTGAAGGTCAAGAGCAGAGACTCGGGTATCTTCGACAGAACCTCTGCCCAGAGTCTAGCTGAGCCAAACTTGAACCGGACCTGTACATACATCAGCGTAAGTGAGAGTCTTCAAGAAGTGTTATATCTCACCTCATTAATCAAAAGCTTCCCAGCTCACTCAGCGCTCCTTGATATATGAAATTAGGAAGACCACATTCATTTTAGAGAGGAAACGACTCCATCAGATTTAAAATTCATTTGGAAATTTCATTCCATCCTTCATATCTTGAAGACAGTTCACTGCCCTGGTTTCAGTCAGCGTAGTTCTGTGACAAATGACAAGAGTGTTCAAGAGTGTGCATGGTTATATGTGCTAATGATGTTATTTCTGTGATTTCTTTTGACTGTACATTAATTCAATTTGAGGGAGATTTGTGCTTCTTTCACCATTTTTTCTTAGATGAAGCAGAGCTATCACTTTTCTGAGATCTACACACTGCTCTTCTTGCTTTAACTCTCTAGATGAAGATGTATTTTTTAATTTAGCCTGGTACTGGTACTGCTGAATAATGATGATACATCACAAGGGAAACTTATCATTATTGAAAGTTATTATCGAAAATTGTCTCTCTGATTCCTGAGTGAATGACTTTTATGAGCTGGTTCCTTTTAGTGAATCAAACACATATAGCACAACCAATATAGTCCGATTCCCAAATGAATGACTCTCATGAGATATTTTTTAATGAATCAAACACATACAGCGCAGCCAGTGTGATCTGTTTTACAGAACTAATGACTCTTATGAGCCAGTTCTTTTTAGTGAATCAAACACATATAGTGCAGCCAGCGTAATTGGATTCCTAACTCTTATGAGCTGTTCATTTTTAATGATAAGGACCACCAGTGCAGTCCTGCATTTTATCAGTATTATTGCATAAAAATAAATCAATAAAATATGTTGCCAAGTTTAAAAAAATATTTTTAATATCTAATTTTTATATTTTAATTATTTGATTGCATTTATGTTGCTTCTATAAAGAGGAAGAATTTTCATTTTGTATTTCATATTTTATTTTTTAATTTTAAACTATGATTACATGGTTTGTTGGGTTTCATAATTTAGCATTGAATTATTATTATTATAATTTTTTTGTCCACAGCTTTATCAGAACAGACTTGAGACCCATTTTTGGATTGAGACCCACCATTTGAGATCTGCTTCACTGGAACGATTGTACAACATGGAGAGCAATAGTCAGACAATCACTCTCTCATGTTAATGAACTGAGACAAATCCTGCTTTTATGCTTATCATTTACCAGTCAAAAGGATATATAATGTCACATTGTTTCTAGTTTCCAGTCACAAAAACTTTTTTTTACAAGTTTTAGAAGAACAAATGTCAAATCAAATTGATTTGGCTCCCAAAGGCTCCTTTTGTTAATATAATGTTAATCAGGTCATGAGCCAGTAGAACAAGTGAAAGATGTAGATGGTACAGTGTGGGTCAGTGCGCGGGGCGTTTCTTTAAAGAGCAGACATGAAAGAGGGTCCATTACATTGAGATTAAGCCTACTTTAATTCTTCTGCTCTAATCTGCTGGTTTTAGAGAAATAATCCCCATAAACAGAAGCTGATCCCATGTCATCAAGATGAACGGCATTAGTGCGTCCACTGGGTGGCACCTTTTACTTTGCCCTTCCACCTCAATTTTTGTTGGTCACAGCCCATTTTAAACACTAGGAGGCTGGCAGTGTGCTAACTTAATCAGTGATTAAAGATCTGAACTTAGTCATAAATTCCATCTCTTTCAGACGGTGGATGACAAAGATGAGATCTCCATGGCTGAGGTCAGCCTGTCCAGTTGTCTCTCGTCCTCTGTAAGTGCTCTATTTGGACTGAATTAGTTTATTAATTATGTTTGCGTTACAATTATTAACATATGATGTTAGTTCATGTACTGACGCAAAAACGGGAGATCTCTGTAGTTATTAACATGCAAGTGTCTGTTGTCTGGAAATGGATGTAACAGAAGGTCTGTTCATCACAAAACCAGATTTACATGTGATTATGTCACTAAGAGAGCGAATTTATCTAAGTGAATGACACTTTTTTAAGAAAGGTCAAATATAGGAGGAGAAATAATAATAATACAACAGTCTTCGATATTCCTGGAGCAGATTTCTCAGAGGATGCTGGAAAAAAAACCTGTATTTAATTTGTTCTGTAATCTTTTTTTGAGGTTGTGTGAGAGAAAACTGATGTGTTTGATTAATACGGGACTGAAAGTCCATTTGTGAAACACAATTTTACGAAACTCTTCAGACACTAGTCCCCTCCAAACAGGTCCAATGGGGGTATATGTTCCTATTTATTAATCTTTTCTGTTATGAAGGAGCTGTTTGGTTAAGCATACTGTACATAATAAGCATACAAGATTTCAATACACTAAGTTACTCACATTCTGAGGAAGAACACAGCAATAGCTTGATCCTCAGAGAGAAGAGATACACAAAAACCAGACTTTAAATGAAACCAACCCACATGAGATCAAATTAAGCATCCAAATTGTCTTGTGTTCAGACGCAGTAGTTTTAATCAGAGAGGCCAAGCTACACTGTCAAAAAGTTAGCCCAGTGTGTCATTATTATAGCTGTAGCGACTGGAACCCAATGCTAGAAGCGATGACAGGAAGCAAACATGTCAGTGAATGTAAACACAAACTCTAGTCCAGAAAGTTCTCAGCAGATCAAGCTGAAAAACATTCCTGTATTGCTGAGCATCAACATAAATGTGGCAAGATTTGGTTCCAGTGCACTGTGGGAGTTTTCATTGATTCCAACAAGCAAGTCTAATGCCTGCTTATGCACTCCCAGCCTGATCTCATGAAGTATACATATTAATAAAACACACACACACACACACACACACAAACACGTTTGTTTCTGTGAACTGTGGGGACTTTCCATAGACTTCTGTTACTTTTATACTGACCAAACAATATTTTCTATCCCCTAACCCTAAACCTACTCCTTACAGAAAACCTGTTTGCATACACTTTCAGATAAACATCATTTACTATTTAAAAAAAAAAATTCCCCTTGTGTGGACCACAGGCACATTGTGCACATTGCCCCACATTGTCAAAAATGTCAGGTTTTACTATCTTTGTGGGGACATTTGGTCCTGACAATGTAGCATAAACAGGTACACACAAACACACACACTTTTATTCAGCATGGATGCATATAATTGACCAAAAGTGACAGAAGTAATGTTACAAATGATTTTACAGTTTTATCAGTTTCACCATTTTCAGCTCACTAACTATCCTTTCTCTGTCACATTAAGGCAAATATGGTCTCAGAGAATGTTGATGAGAAAAGTCCATTGGCTCGGATCCCTTCCATCATTGTGACGTCAGAGTCCAGTCCTGCCCTCCTCTCAGAAGGTCGCAGCGGCGGCCCATCCAGACAGCTCCCAGGTGCTTCAGTAGAGGCAGCCTCTGTCACTGCGGAAGCTGCTGGGATTGACTGAATACGGGCTGCACTACCACTTATTTAAACTTCAGGACACCATCTTAACTGACTCTTGGACATCTGACTTATCCCTTCCTCCTTTTTGTCTCCTTTACACAGGGCTCAAAAATGAACCTGCATGCAGTTACAGCTGACTCCTGAAATTTGGCTGCATTGTATTTGTTGTACTTTTGCCTGTTTTGAGATGAAAAATGGGCAACCACAGGCTACGGGGTAAACAGGGTCTTTATTTTTACAGGACACCCTTTAAGGCTTCTTTCAGTGGTATGGAGATAATCCTCTCCTCTCAGGGAAGAATATGACAGTTCTGTGGTGAAAGCAGCGATCAGTGTCTCAGTTATAGATTGACACTGCTCAGAATATGTATTCAGATACATCCATCCCTGCTTCATCCATAAAAAGGTTGTGCTGTAGGCCATAGGAATAAACAGTTTCCTGCGTCTACACAAGATAAAAAATCAACACAATGTGACATGAAGATTCAAACACCTAGTTTTTACATAGCCAGAAATGTTGCTCTATAAAAGGTAGATCCTTGTCTACAGGTGTAATCACTCTAGGACAGAAAAGTTGATATTTTAATATTTTTTTAAAGGTAAAGTATATAATTAGTTTTATGTATTTACTGTATGTAAAAATATTTTAATTGTAATGGCTGATAAATGATAAATGTATGATACTTTCTAATACTACTTCATTGAAATATATTACAAATAAAACAATAAAAAGCTAAAATCAGTCATTCTGAATGATTAAAGTGAATTTAGGCATCATGACATTATAATGTACTGTCTAAAAATATATATTAATTTTCAAATTTGATAAAGATTACATTTATCAATACTTTTAACAAATTGACTTTACCTTTGCTGTTATCTACAGCTTACTTAATCTAAATGTAAAAACAGGAAAAATCTTTAATTTTATGCAACTCTAATTTAAACATAAAAAAAAAGTTAAACACTTCAGCTTCCAGTTAGGTATTCCCGCCAGCATAATAATAAATCAAGCACTTTGAGAACCAATTACTTTTTTTGTGCTGTTGAATACATTTGTAGATTTTTTTTCCAGCACTGTATGGCCAATGCATATATTTGTACGTATACTATTGAATGTTAATAAGAAAGTGCGCTCAACAAATGATCTTGACTGTATGATTTCTCATGCTTTTGTGTTGTGCCACGTTTCTCTATCCACGTGAATATTTAGGGTTGTGATTGTCTGCATGCTTTCTTAATATAAAATAGGCTCATTTGATAGAAATGATCCTCACTTTCCATGCAGGCCACAGTAACCCATATTAATGTGTCTTTTAAATTCTGGTCTTAGAGCCCGTAGCTTTAATGAACTGTACCTTTCAGATGCAGATTTGCCTTTCTGCTGGATTTCAGAGATGCTTTAGTGGGATTAATATGCCAGCATCTGGGAGTCCTTAGGGTTTAGAGGGGAAACGCTTTTAACAAGATTAGTTTTGGGAAAGTGCTCAGCCAGAACGCTCCATTGCTTTTAAAGGCTGCTGTGTTGTCGAAGTTACATACACATTCTCAGATAATGGTCTCTGAAGCCGTTCAAATGCACTGTCACTCTCTCAATCTGTCCTGAGAGATACATTTACCTTTTGATTTTGAGGTGCTTCATAGACGAGTTTATGATGTACTACGAGGTGGGTTTGCATATTTACTGGTGTTGCCAGAATGTTCGCCTGATTAGCAACTCTTCATCTAGCGGTGACACGTTTAGCAGTGAACACATTCTGTATATCCACACTCACAGTTATCATGTAGGTCAAAAGTGTGTCTGCTGACTTGCGTGTGATTTGCTGTCTGGAAGCCGTCGGGTGTCATAATCAAGTGTTATATAAATGATAAGTTATCTTATCAGCTAAAGCCATCAGGTCATACATATTATTTGTGATTACATTGTCACGTTTTCACTGCTCTTCCCTTTCCTGTTTTATTGACTAGTTCTTATGTTGACCCCTTATTATATTAATAGTTGCATTGTAAAGTTCATACGGTTAATTGTTTTACTGTTTACCAATGCACCTGCAAATGGCAGATTCATTTAGAAAATATTCAGACTTTAAATATTTCTCACTGCCCATAAAACTGCATTTGTATAATTTTAATTAAAGCAACTGTACATACTTTTTTTTCTTTCTTTCCCACACTCCCCTGAACATCTGTTCTGAGATTATGTAATTTGGTACAAATTCTGTGAAAAGGGTGGGCCCAGCTTACAAAAATATGTTCTAAGAACATTTTGTTACTCTCATTAAGTAAAGAAAATGTTATTTCTGGATGTTCTCTGAATGTTTGAAACGTCCAATTTATTTAAATGTTTTAAAAATGCGTTTCTCTTGGTTTTGCAAAACATTCTTTATAATTTTGCAAACATTATTGCAGCGCTACTTTTAAATGTACCTGAATGTTCTGTACAAGTAGCAACATTTAAAAAACATTCCAGCCAAAAAAAAAATAAAAAAATCCATGAATGATATATAAATAATGTTTTGTATTGACGTTTTGAGAACATTAAAGACCAGATGAAACTGAACAAACATTCTGTTAACGTTACTGGAAGACAAGAGAATGTTCCTTATGGCAGAAACAAAGGCATGTGTACAACTATCTAGTCTAATTACATTATATATTTATTAGTTATATATTTAGACAGTGAATACCACTCACTTAACTGTAGGGGGCTCCAAGGTCACAAAAATACACAAAACTACATGCAGTTGCTTTAAATAATGGATATTTAGTTGGTTTTCCACTTATAATTGTACTAGATAAACCTGTGGCTTTATGATTCTTGCATTTTAATTTAAACCATTTGTGAAGAGTAAACCAAAGTGTGTATGACGCCTAAGGCACTCAGCAGCTTCTACTGAGCAAACCACAGCATTCAATTCATACAGTTCTCACCTCAGCAGCCTCTCTAAGATGGAAAACAGGTAGGCTTGCAAATGTTTTCTAGTCAAGTGGTCCAGATTAGATGGTAACGAGTGACTGTTAGGCAGAGGTGCTGATGGCTGCTGTCTGGCGTTTTGCACTTCAGGACTTCAAGATTGCATTCATTAGCCCAGATTATTACCACAAACTCCCTTTCTGAAGCCTTTTGTTTACATTCATCCATTTCATCATCAAAAAAAGAAAAAGAAAAAAGAAAGTAAAAAAGCTCATTTCCCCCATTAACTATTTCCCTATGTAAGCAGTTGGTGGAAAGAGGCTCTGCATTTATATAAGATTCACTCTGTCTGACTCCTACAATGAGCTCTGAACAAGGTCACAGGCCCCTGGAGATAGGATTAAAGAGTGAACTCTATGCCATTGACTTTTCCCTTTTTTGCAATTTATAATACAAGTATATATACATCTATATATAGCCTGGACTCTCTGACCTAAATTAGAGTTGATCTGAGTATCTCTGCTGAACTTATGTTGGGAGTCGCTGCAAAACCATATTTAATAGTCCCAGTTTTGGTATTTTGTATTTATATTTCTTTACTGATTGTTTCTCCTCATCAGTAAATCCTGTGTGGTGCTACTGTGTTTTCTTCACAGTTATTCTTCATGCACATGTTGGATGGCCAAAAGCATCTTGCAAGGAGTGTGTAATTTCATTTATTGGATGATGTATTTGAGTGATTTATAATGTTAATAAACATAAAATTCTAAGTATTATGAGTTATATTTGCATGTAAAATCTATATTTATGCTTTTTGGTTTCGGAAATGTGAAAATATGTCAAACGTGCAATCTAGTTCAAAATACATGGGTTTGTGTTCTTTTGATGTTCTACATTAAAGAACAACACACATAGTTGACAATCCATTCAGTATATTGGCTACTTGGCAATCTAATTTTCAGTGACTGAAAATTTTAACTGACTGATATAGTAAAGCTTGTTAGACAGTTACACTTCTAAATGGTCAGGAGAGGAACCTTCTGTGCAGGTGTTAGATGATGATAATCTTTGGATACGGTAAGCCCTGTGATAAAGATGTTTAGAATAAACTTTACTAGGTTTTTAAGGTTGTTTTTGACCAAATTCCAGAGTAAATCCTGTGTGGTGCTACTGTGTTTTCTTCACAGTTATTCTTCATGCACATGTTGGATGGCCAAAAGCATCTTGCAAGGAGTGTGTAATTTCATTTATTGGATGATGTATTTGAGTGATTTATAATGTTAATAAACATAAAATTCTAAGTATTATGAGTTATATTTGCATGTAAAATCTATATTTATGCTTTTTGGTTTCGGAAATGTGAAAATATGTCAAACGTGCAATCTAGTTCAAAATACATGGGTTTGTGTTCTTTTGATGTTCTACATTAAAGAACAACACACATAGTTGACAATCCATTCAGTATATTGGCTACTTGGCAATCTAATTTTCAGTGACTGAAAATTTTAACTGACTGATATAGTAAAGCTTGTTAGACAGTTACACTTCTAAATGGTCAGGAGAGGAACCATCTGTGCAGGTGTTAGATGATGATAATCTTTGGATACGGTAAGCCCTGTGATAAATATGTTTAGAATAAACTTTACTAGGTTTTTAAGGTTGTTTTTGACCAAATTCCAGAAAAAAAAGCATTAAAAATAGCACATACATTTAGAACCAGAAAAGAGCCGATACTCGTTAATACTCGACAGTTTTGTCCTTTCACCTTAGCACTTTAAATGCCTCTGTTACTTCAATAGGATTTAGTGAAAAACGCATCAATTAAAATCTGCAGTAACATGTCGATTGTTCATAAAAAATGGAATGGAAAAGGTTAATGCAGGAGTTGTCACTCTCACAAGTGTGAATTTGAATAATGGCATAGTGGCCTAAAAAAATAAAATAAAAATCTACCATGTCAGTGGATGAATACAGAGAGGAAAGTTCATTTATGGCTGAGGGCGAGCTTTACTTTTTTCTTAGAGCTGCATTGTCTGTAATAATAGCTATTGTGTGTGTCATTATGTAACATGATGGAGTTTTCTAGAATGCTTTCTATACTTTTCACTCTAGAGAATAAGAGTGACAGGATTCAGTCAGAGTGACCTGGATAAATTATACCTGCGATCCTTCACAGAAACACATGAATGGACAGAATGAAAGGTGGATGTCCTGTCATCCTGTGCCATTCATGTATTGACAGCATCAGTTGTCTTCACTGATAAGTGTGTGCCTCTCAACCCACTAGATGACAACAACATGGAATCAGGACAAGAGTGTTTCTTTCATTTTTCTAAATCTAGAGTGGACTGATTGGTTGTAGTGTACTTCTTCATTTTGAAAATGTTCATTCTTCTTTCTGAATCCAACAGTAGTGTATTTTAGTACAGCGGAAAGCCATTATGCATATTTGTATTGATCAATGCCACTGAGGAATCAGCTTCACATCATGAGGTCAAGGTTTTGCTGGTTATCTAATTAGGTACTGTAGATGACGCAATTACACCATCTAGCTGTAACAAAAACATCAAATTAATACTCATATTTAGCTTATGTAAATGCTGTTTATTTGAAATTTCTGTTCGTCAAAAAATCCTAGAAAAACAAGTATCACAATTTCCACTAAAATATTGGACAGCACAATGGTTTTAAACATTGATAATAATAACATGTGTTACTTGAACACCAAATCAGCATATCAGAATGATTTCTGAAGGATGGCTGCTTTGCAATCACAGAAATAAATTACATTTGAACTTTTATTAAAATAGAAAACTGTTATTTTAAATTGTAATAAAATATTACCATTTTACTGGATATTTGATCGAATAAATGCAGCTTTGGTGAGCGTAAGAAACTTCTTTCAAAAACATTTAAAAATTGCACTGACCCCCAACCTTTTGAACGATAATGTGTAAATTGTTTTACATCGTTGTATATATTTTATCAGTGTCCAAAGCATTGCCTTTGATGCCATAGCTCAAAATAATCACTAGTTTGAGACTGTGCATGATGCCATCAGCCAATCAGCATTGTCATTTTTCTATAGCGCTACAGTCATTAGTCACATGCCATTTACAGCTTCAGTGATTGGCTCAAAAAAAAAAACTTGCAGCAGAACCGAGTGCCCAGTCCAAGATGGAAGAACTTCAATCCCAAAATTCTAGGAAGCCCTGTGGCAGCCGAGCAATTGCTACTGAACTGAACAGGAATGTTAACGGATAGCTTACACCAGATATTATGAAACTCCTTGTTACACATATTGTGAAATCAGAAAGACAAGGCATCCTCAATCAATCAAATCTTACAGCCACCTATTTGGATTCACACCCTAAAAGAGCTGCAAAATGACATTACGTCAGACTTCACACTAATGGCTCCTTGTTTATTAGTCGTTTCCCACTAGCTCTATATCCATGGTGCCCTATGAGTTGACACCCATAGGATCAGAGTGGAAAAATGTGTTACCCTAAGAAGAGGCTATATTCGCCATGTGAATCATGGGGGCTTGGTATCCAGGGGTGTCCCCTTACACACCATATAAGGGCCCCAGGGGCTTGAGTGTTATCGCTTTCTCCAGAAGGGATCTATTCTTAGGCTGTCTGTCCAGGCCATCCGAGCAGGCAAGAACTCTCCTCCTTCTGCTTTTAAAACATTTTTGACTTATTTTGTCAGTGTCAACAGGGGTAGGATTTTACTATTTGTTCTTTTTATGTCTGATCGTTCAGTGGTATGTTTTTGAGTTGTGTTGATATGTGAACTCAGGTCCTGTGTGATGGTTGTATAGTGACAGAGGGCATAAGATAATACATATTGTTTCACTCTATTGCGTTTCCTGTCTGTTGTTGTTGTGTTTCAGAGGCTCCTCGGTGCCTGCCCTTACCCGGGTGTTTGGTCATCCCGACTACAGGGAGAAGAAAAATAAAGGAAAAACAGGACTTTACTGATCTGAGAAGAAGCTTTTCACTAAACTCTCTTCAAAATGAGCAATTACACAGTAACCCTGTCTGGACCTGCACCATGGGGCTTCAGGCTGCAGGGAGGCAAAGACTTCAACATGCCCCTGACCATCTCCCGGGTGAGACAACAGCTCTGCCTTGTAGAAATAACAAACAAACCCAACATGCTTTATTTAAACAAATGCCTGCTTTGATTTTTTTTAAAGAAAGAAAGAATAAAACCTCACAGAGATTGTTTTGACATTTTTTACTTTTCTTAACAATGAAAATCGATGAAAGCTTTGACCCTTTGGTTCGAGAGAGGTGTTGTGGTGCATTTACAGCGGAAAACTCTATGAATAGCAATAGATGATGCAAGCTTTAAGAAAATGAATCTGTGAAAGGTGAGAAGCCTGGATGTATGCTACTTGTCTAGTTAAATCACATTTACTGTGTTTAACCGATAGTGCAAATTTGCCCAAAGTGAAAAAATTAACATGCTGTCTGTTCATTTATGACACTGATTCAATCTATTAAATGAAATGGAAAAAGGAGACTTTCAACTTTCTCATGTACAGCCCTTGAAGGAAAAAAAGTATTTTAAGGGATATATATCACCCTCACCCTCACCCTTATATTGCTTCAAACCTGTATGATTTTCTTCCTTTTGTGGAACACGAAAGAAGATATTTTGAAAAAATATGTCAGTGTTATTTTGGACCCCATTGACTTTCATTCTACCTGTTTGCCAAAATATCTACTTTTGTGTTCTGCAAAAGAAAAAAGGTCATATAAATTTGGAACGATGTGAGGGTGAGTAAATGATGACAGAATTTTTATTTTGGAGTAAACTATCCTTTTAAGTGTAAAAGACATTAGCTTTCGGACGTCTGTTATTTATGCTAAGCAGACGTTGATGTCATGTTTCGTGGAAAGATGCTCAAATTCTTGTTGCTCATGGATGTTGATTCTTATTTCAGCTTTCGGTTTTCTTAGAATTAATTTCTTGATGGTAAGCAGTTCCCCATTTATCATCTCCTGAAACGTGATTGTTGTATATTCAGTTGTTAAATTTGTTTACCTCAAAAAAGGGGAGCAAAGGCGCATCGTCTTACCTTGCCAAGTAGATCAATAAGGTGTGCTATTGACAAACAAGCACCATTTTAGACTAAGGGAATTGAATTGGTAATGCAATGCACCTTGTAACATAATGTACAGTCTTCTGTCTATACTTCAAATGTGCTCATTCCATGGCGCTCAAAATCCTTATTGTGTTAGTGGATGGATTCAAGGAAGCCGTGTCCAAAGGCTCAAAGAGATTATATTTTCCTAACAGAGGGTGAGGTGATTTTCTCTCTGACAAGAAATCGCTGCCACTATACAATCAATCAAAGGCAGTTCAGCCCAGTTTGTTTGTTTCAAAGCTGTCGCCTTTCTTGACATTTGATTGTCTTTCACTTCAATAAGGAGAGAGTCATTGCCTCTGTTTGTCAAGGCTGTGGTTGGTCTCCTCATATTGGCTGTTTCTCTGGAAGCAATTACAGACAGGACCATCATACCGGGAAAACTTATCTCCATTGTTTGGATTTCTATTGCTTTTCTAATCAGCATTGCTGGTGGCACACGCTTTGCTGCTGTAATCAGTGTCAAACCAGGTGTCCGTCTGGATTTTATAGTCTCTCCCGACCCAGCTGTCACTGAATATGGAGGTAGATTGAAATGTGGACAGTATATGTGTTCAGATCAGGTCTTAGATGATTGATACATATGTAACACCCAGAGGTGACGATTTAAAAATTTCACAATCAAATCTTCACACACTGTGATAAAAGATCAGCCTCTATCCTAAAGCACCATAGACAACCTGTACCAAATCTTAATCCTGGTCCAAAGGCTGAAAGAGCTGCTGTCTTCCACAAAGAAGCCTAGTAATTGCTTTTACTGTTTTCGTAATACTTACTGATTTTCTGTAGTGTCTGTAAACAGCGACATGATGTTATGACATTTGTCACATTCATTGAGGACAAAGAAGCAGTGGATGATCTAATTTAATGCTTTGATTCAGTTCATTTCTACAATCCGATATTTTGTCCTCATACGTGAGAAAAATTCCCCAGGATATGTGATATTAGTGTCAATAAAGTTGTCACCAAACAGGTAATGCTAGACGGAAGAGTCATTTACAGTAGATGTTGACAAATGGATTTAGACCTGAGATGCAACCATTTGAAATATCACATCACAGAGATATATTTATTTTGTTTTTCATGCAAGCTATGATCCAACTTTAATTAAGATGTCCTGGCCTCAATGTTACAGACATTGGAAAATGACAACACTAATATGAAGACCATGTTAAGTGAGTGACAGAACAATATGAGGTTGTTAATATGTGTGTGTGGGTTGGTAAGGAGCTGCCTTATTTCCGAATAAAACATGTTTGGCTACTTTTTAATAAAAAAGAATAATAATGGAAAATGCATTCAAAATAACTCACTTACATCACTGTCTCTTACCTACTTTGCCTCCTTTGCAACCCTAAATAAAACACTCTTTGGTTGCTAATGATAGCAATTGACGACCACTTTTGGCCCGTGGGTGCAATGCCTGACTTATGGTCACTGATTTTAGCTTAGCACTGAAGGTCATACATGTGAAGAGCACAGAAACAATAGACACATGAGGTCATAGTGAATTTAAGTATTGCTTGGAAAGAGACGCAGGAAGAACGATTATTATTGAAGCTGTTAGTTAGTTCCATTGAAAACACTTCCACAGTTGAAAATATGCGGGAGACTGGGGCTATTGTCACATTTATTTTACTCCAGTGATTATTTCTCATGGTATGTTTATTGTTCAATTGTTTCTAGTCAATTTATTTTTATTAATTACTTTTTTAGTTAAATTATTATGTGGAAAAAAAGAGATAACATAATCCAACATAACATAATGAACAAATTACAATATTTAAAATAAATGGCAACCTGCCCTGACGGATATATATAAAAAGATTGTCCTGTGAACACAGTTCAACATTTCACTTAAAATATTTTCATTATATACTTCACTTTTGTCTGAAGTGAGACAGTATTGGAAACATTTGCATTTAAATCATTCTTGTTTTTCATATTTTTGTCAACCAAAGTATTGCGTAAAAAAATTCAAAGAGCAGAAGTGATGAACCGCAATTGCCGCAACACGCTCACAGCAATAATTTTAATCAATTCTGATAAGACCGTACACACAGTCAACTTGATAATGATGCATTTAAAATTGGGAGATTTTTTTCAGTGGTTCTGTAAGCGCCGAACAGCTTTGTGGAGCAGCGTTGCCGATAGCAGAAAGCACTGGCCCAAAATGTCCTGTCAGAGATAATTTCCTTCATTATATTGTTTCGCATGATATGGAAGTCCAGCTCTGCAAAGTGCCGATATTATATTCTGTAAAGCACTTCATAAAGTCCATGACAAAGTCTGTGAAGTCATTCGTGATGTATTATATGAAGTAATTTAACCGCAGATGAATCTGCCTAGTGATGTCCCCAAATCTTTTTTTCTTCATTCTGTTGTATTTTAATGTCCACATTGTTTCTCCATGTGTACTGCAAATTCATAGACCTCATAACAAGTCGGTTCAATTCTACTGCTTTCTAAGCTCTTCAAGGTCGTTATTCAGTGCTGTAGAGGTCAGGTTGCATTAAGCTGAGGTCAGGACCTTTCTAACACAAAGGTGGACAGCATCAGGCCCTGTTATGCATATAGCCTGTGCCGGAGCATAGCAACAAAAAAATCTAATGAATATACTGTCAGCGGCATTCAGAGCCTTGCAAATACCCAAAGGTTCCACAGATAGTCCAGATCATCACCCCAACCTTTGCTTTTAGTCAGAACAGTGCAGGAGGTAGCAAAAGACAATTAAAGCTGGCATTTACCAAGGACTGCCTCATAAATCACAGTGCCAACAGAGCCAGGCCACTGTTTCCTCACTAAGGTTCTACTGGCAGATTCTACTATCTCTCAACAATCTGAGATAAAACAGATGCTTTCATCTATAACTTGAAAGGCATGTTGGAACACCATATCTGTGTTTGACATAAATGTTAACATTTTTAGGAACTAATGGGACAGAATGGAGCTCTTCAAGTTAAGACAGTTGCCATCTGGACTAGATTTAAATAAACAGTCAGTAACAATGTATCAAATGTTTTCATATGGATCTTAGCGGGTCATTGGATTTAGCATCTGTTGAAGTGAGACTGGCAGTTTAACAACTTAAATCAAATTAACAGCTGTTTTTTTTTCATTTTGTGCCTGTTATCCCTCTTGACATTTTATTCTACACTTGAATAGGATTTATATTACTTTAATTTATAAATGAAACAAAAGTGTGTTTAGTTCCACGTGGCAGAAGATGAGATACACGATTTGTCTTCTAATGTCATAGCTTTCTCTTAACTTAACTCGTTTTTCATACTTAAGACAGTGCCTTCATTTAATTTACATTAAAAACAAGAGAAGCATTATAGCGGACAAAATGAACCTGTACTTGAACAGTGATTCTTGCTGTGAGTGCATCTCAATTCAGTAGGCCAGGGGTGTAAAGCATTTCTTACTAAAGTAACTTTTTTTTTAAATTATGTAAGTACATAGGACACACCAGATGTAAAACATCTCTTTACAATGATGAACACAGTTATATTTCACATTTAAATAGATTTTATTAACCATTTAAAATAAAAATTAAAGAAATCATGCTATGGTTTGGTTTGAAAAAATATATATTTATTCAAATCTATTTAGGATATTAAAACATATCCTTTAACATATATAAAGGATAGATTAATGTACTGTGCAATAAGTTCTTTGAAGATTTAAAAAAATCTAAATTACATTTGAAGGGCTATTTGTGTGTGTGTGTGTGCGCGCGTGTGTAATTCAATAGAAGTAGTTTCAGTAGTACCCCAAATTTCCTAAATTAATATTTTGCCATCTAAAACTGAAGTGCTGTTCAAAAACATGTTTGAGAAAATAGAATAAAAATAAATAAATAATAATAATTAATGTTTGTAAATAAAATAAAATAATAAAATAAAATAATGGAAATATTCTGAGAAAAGTGATATGTTGTCTACCTGAATAATGTCAGCCCAAAACCAGTGTGATGAATTAGTGAATTCCAAAACATTTTTTTTTTTGGCTCTCAAAAATGCAGATTCTCTCTCAAATCGGTATGTGTGTGTGTGTTTTAAATTAGCCTTTCAAAGTCATTCAGTATGCAGCATTATGATTGAAGCGTCGGTCAAGCAGCAGTCTGTTAGCTTAAGTGAAATGTGAACAGGAGGAGGGTGATGATGTTTCTCATCTAGCTTGTATGACCCTGACCAGTGATGCATGCAGTGGGATTTAATTACATAATAGCCAAGAAGAAGTATGTCTCAACAGTAAAGTCTGGGAAATGCAAGCAGTGATTCACTATACAAGTGTAAAAATGCCTCTATCTGAACGTCTAGTGACTATGAATCTTTTCCAGTGTATCTTATCCATTGTATTTAAATATATAGTAATATTTCTTATTTCCTTGCTGATTTGGAGTTTAGAGCAAAATTACGTCCCATACTTTTTCTAATTCCTAAACCATTGCTCATTATGGATTCCAGTTATTTTCAGGTAAATCATATGCTTTAGTGTTCTTAATGCACCTTCAGACTTTATAATTTGTTTGGCAGTTGGGAATTTACTAGGAGATCATTACAAGAAGGAGAGCACTTTCAGAAGCATTTATATGTGTGCGTGTTAAGTAATGGCAGCAGGTGGGACAGAAGTGTTGGTGGCAGGGCCCCAGAATACAGGGTCAAATTGAGAGGCAGGGGGCGTCAACAACAACCTTTATTTTTAACATTTGAATGAGCTGCCACTGACTTGTTACAAAGATGGAATTTCAATCCTTATCACCCCTGACAGATTGTCAATCTGTACAGGTGCATCTCAATAAATTGGAATGTCGTGGAAAAGTTCATTTATTTCAGTAATTCAACTCAAATTGTGAAACTCGTGTATTAAATAAATTCAATGCACACAGACTGAAGTAGTTTAAGTCTTTGGTTCTTTTAATTGTGATGATTTTGGCTTACATTTAACAAAAACCCATCAAGTCACTATCTCAACAAATTAGAATACTTCATAAGACCAATAAAAAACATTTTTAGTGAATTGTTGGCCTTCTAGAAAGTATGTTAATTTACTGTACATGTACTCAATACCTGGTAGGGGCTCCTTTTGCTTTAATTACTGCCTCAATTCGGCGTGGCATGGAGGTGATCAGTTTGTGGCACTGCTGAGGTGGTATGGAAGCCCAGGTTTCTTTGACAGTGGCCTTCAGCTCATCTGCATTTTTTGGTCTCTTGTTTCTCATTTTCCTCTTGACAATACTCCATAGATTCTCTATGGGGTTCAGGTCTGGTGAGTTTGCTGGCCAGTCAAGCACACCAACACCATGGTCAATTAACCAACTTTTGGTGCTTTTGGCAGTGTGGGCAGGTGCCAAATCCTGCTGGAAAATGAAATCAGCATCTTCAAAAAGCTAGCCAGGAGAAGGAGGCATGAAGTGCTCCAAAATTTCTTGGTAAACGGGTGC